GACTTCAGCAAGTATCGTACAATGGTGGTTCGTTTAAGTTAAAATATAATTTATTAAATTCATTACTAAAAGTCAAAATATTTGAGGTGACATTTTTCCTCATTTTTTTTCTCTCAAATTCTCATATAATTCTCATATATATATATATATATATATAATGTATTTAAACAATGTCACCTCAAACATTTTTTTGAGTCGTATGTATTTAAATTTTTTTTATTAAAATAATATTAAAAGACAAAATGAGTTAAAATAATATCAAATTCATAATTATTTTACATTTTTTTTCTCATGTACATCATATCTAATTATAAAAACAATTTAACAATCTTGCTAAACATAATTATTTCTTTTTCAAATGTCAAGTGTCAATGGTGGTGGACAGTCACGAAGCGGAGGAGGCGTCAATGAATCCCTTCTTTCGTTCATGCTTTCTCTATATTTTTTTTTCCACTCTATTTTATCTTAAATTTGTGATTTGATTTTGTTAAATCATAAGAAATCAACGCCCATTTCAAAAGCTTTTTTCAAAACCATAAAAAATCAACACTCATTTTCCATTAAGAAATTAAATCCATTCCAGAAATCAAACTGAAAATAAAAATATATTTCTAAAATCAAAACCCATTTTATAAAGATCAACTATTATTTCAGACCTAAAACTTTTTAAAAAATTAAATCCAAATCCATAAGCTGCATAAAAAAAAATCTATATAAATAAAAAGAAACATAACACACAAATAACAAGATAACACAAAATTTTAACTAATTCCTTAAAACAACCCTGTAATTATTGAAACTTGTCAAATAAAATTAAATCCCACTTATTTTTATGTGTAAACTTTAACATAATTAGTCATTGGAGGTGCATTAAAAAATTAAGAGAAGAAGATGACAAAGAATATGCTTCGGATATATTTCTCTATACATGGAAAACATGAATGAGTCAATTCTCAAAAGAGAAAGATAAACATTGGTCAGTGGGGACAAATTAAAAAAAAAGAAAAAAAGAAAAAAGAAAAATGAGTTTCACATTCCAATTATTCCTTATCCAAACAACCCTTATCTACTAAAGCCAAACTTAGCCAGACGTGGCGCCCCATCACACCACATCCCTTCTCTCTCCTCTCTCTCTCTATAGATCTCATCCATTGCTGCCTCTCTTCCCATTTTCCTTCTATTCTCTTTCATTTTCGTCTCACTTTCTCTCTCTCTCAAAAACCCAGTTCACAAAACATTGGCATAGTCCTTCCAGTGATCAAAGATATCTCAACACTCCAATATGTGACCCATATGCATCAAACAGTCACACAACACAGTGGATGTGATTTCTATCTCTCCAAGTCAGCGTGACAGTGTGTAGGAAAAGAAGGGAGAGTTAAAAAGGCAGGGAGGAGAGTGGGGAGCTCTCCAGAAACGTTGGCAGTAGCCTGATGTCGATCCATCCATAGTAACAACGATGATGAGCGGTGGCAGCGGTGATGAGCAGTAGCAGTGGAGATGACTGGAGGAAGTGGCGTTGTGCAGTGGCGATGACTGGAGGAGGTGATGAGCAGCACCATGGCTGGGTCGCGAGAGAGTCGTTGGAAAGAGATGTATCACCGTCATAGAGGGAAGTAAGGCAGAGAGAGAGAGAGATAAAGGGGATGGGTGTTTTGAAATTTGAAAATTGAGAGTGAGACTGGAAGACAGAGAGGAGAGTTTTGAAATTTGAAAATTGGAAGAGAGATTGAAAGATAAAGAGAGGAGAGTTTATAGAGAGTTTGATGAGCGTGGGTGTTTTGAAACTTGAAAATTGGGAGTGAAACTGAAAGAAAAAAAGAGGAGAGTTTATAGAGAGAGTTCCATGAGAGTGGGTCTCTCTTCCGTATGGAGTGGATGGGTGTGTTTTGAAATTTAAAATGTGAAAAGGTGAGGTGCGACAGAGGAGAATGGGTTGTTGCAAAGTTTGTGGCTCTTGGGCGGGAAGTTCAGGTAGAGTGAGAGAGAAGGTTTTCATCTGAACTGTCCATCTAAATACAAAAATGAATCATGATCATTAAAATGTCCTAGTAAGGCAATTGTCTCTAACATAAATTCAAAAACATTCTTCCCTTATTATATAGTTTATAATACATATATATATATAAGAAAATATATCATTTATAATAATTTGTATACAACACTTAAAATATATAAAAACACTAAATTGTAAATAAAACTCGTTATTAGACTAATAAAGTGTATATTAGCAGGCTAAATATGTAACGTTATGGCACTTATCATCTTCCATTTTTTTCATTTTACAATGCTTCAATGGTGTTGTGATTGAAATTGGGTGCATGCTTTCTTGAGAGTCATCACTAACTCTCCTCACTCTGTAGAATCTTCTCTCTAGAATATTCTAGAAGTTTCCACATGAATCTAGAATACTCCGGAAAGATCTAGAAAATTCTAAAAAGGCCTAGAGAAATCCGGAAGATTTTATAATATCCTAGAAGGTTTCGGAACATTAAAGAAGTTTGGAGAAAACTAGAGAAATCTAGAAAGTTCCGGAAGGTTATAGAATATTTTAGAGAAGAATAGAAAGCTCTAATATGTACTAAAGTAATCTAGATTGTTCTAGAGTGTAGGGAAAGTATGAGTGTATTCTACAAAGTTTTTCAACTAGTATAAATATGAGATGAGTGCATGTACTAAGTAATTTGGACAATTGGACAATTGAAATTGAGTGAAAGAAGAGTGAGTCCAAAGTGAGTTGTCAAGCACTATCTAGTGTAAGGTGTCTCAAGGTCTTGTGTGAGGAAGACACAAACTGTGAGTGCTTGAATGTACGTGTGAGTGGATAAGTGAAGTGTATTAGTGTGTGATTGTGTACAAGTGTTTTGTGATTGTGTACAAGTGTTTTATGTACTAGAGTGTTATCAATAAAGGTTGTATTTCAGTGTCTCAAACTTAACATACTTCACTTAATCATCCATTCTTTGCTGTCCTAGAGGATATGAACTCTGTGGTGAAGAGTTACCATGACTTATACAGATTAAAAGGCAATTTGTTTTGATATCCTAGCTGTGATGCTTTATAATTAACTTGCGTTTAAAATCTTGTTCCCCAACAACTTCTTATAGAACATTGAGTCATATATATTCAGGGACTCGATCATTTATGGTGCTGAGATCATTAAAGTTGGTGCTAATTCATTAATGGCAATAGTCTCAATCAACGCAAGTTCTTGACTTATGAGATTGGCAAGTGAGGGTCCTATTGCCCACTCTTGAAAAATTTGACTCTATCTCTGCCTCTATCTCTGACTCTCTTCTTCCAAAAGTGGCGCTTCAGGAAGCAAGTGCAACAACTACAACATCATTTGAAGAACCATTCTACATTGAAGAACCATTCTACAATGAAAACTTACATTTTTCTTTAGAGGACTTGAATTTATTACTGTCAAATGGTGACAAGACTCTTCCTTGATAGAAACATGGTGGTTATTGTTTGGAATGTTGGGAATAGTTGTGGTGTGTATATCTACCACTGGGATTCAAAGTGTATTTTTTTTAGAGAAATGCTACTTATCAGTAAAGCACTCTTCTTTTTTTATCTTGTTGGGTCTTGTTGTTTAGCTTTGTTGATTTTTTTGTTTTTAATTTTAATTTTGATTTTAAATTTTTTCTTTTTGTGAGTTGGTAGGTATCAACTTGTCTAAGGTAGGGATTAGGTTTTTCTTTTTTGTACCTCTTTTTTTAAAAAAAAATTATTAGCAATGTAAAAGAGCAATTTTATTGATGGATAGCAATGAAATGCATTACAATCAACAAAAACAATAGGGAAAATAAGAAAACATAGCAAGATCACCTGTAAAAACAAACACACATACAAAAAGGGCTGCCACCCTTCAAGTTTGTGTGCATTTGTGTTTGTTTTTCCCATTAAATAAATTTGGAGTTACGAAAGTTTAGACTCTTTACAAGTAATTTGTGGTCGGAGAATGAATTATAGTCCTCATGACCACATAGACCAAAATGAATGTCCTGTCATAATTTGATAATTTTAAGGGATGAAAAATACATTATTCTCAATTTTATACAAATATGAATAATTAGATAAACATGTCATTCTGAATCTATGGTTTGTTGGGTATTTTCTTCTTACTAAAAGGGTTTTTGTTTTTTATGAGATGTGAAAGATTTAAGAAAGGGATAAAGGTGGAATCAGAAAAAATCTCTCAGAAACAACTCTCATGCTAACAGAGACAATATTAATGCCCACCCTAGACCCCCAAAACTCTATTTTACAATTTTGAATTCCTAACCCTCTTCAATTCATGTATAACAAAAGTCATTCACAAAATAATCTCTAAGGCTGTGTTTGGATGATCGATTTGAGTAAGGATTTTGAAAAGAAAAGGAAAAAGATGAGGGAGATGCGAATGAAACATAAGCTAAATTTTTTCTCCATTTCTCTTTTCTTTTTTAAATCCCTATATCAAAATCCATAAATCCAAACATAGCGTATTTGAAGTAGTGACTATGTGTCAACTATTTTGCATCTTCATTAGTTGTGAACACTATGATATTTCTAACTCATATGATAATTTTTTATGGATGGAGAATCCAAGAAAAAAGAAAATAGAAAAAGAAAAATAGGGTGAAATTACTGTTCAATTGTAAATTTTAAGAAATTATTACACATTAATGAAAAAAATAAATATAACTATTCTCCATCCCTTTTGTTTTAAGTTGAATTAGAAAATTTGAATCATAAAACAAAGTTGGTCTTTGTTTTTAGTCATGCTTTTTCACGTATGCAATCTTCATCAATACATGTAAATGGTTTGAGAGAGAGAGACAGAGAGAGACAGAGAGAGAGAGAGACCAATCCCTTTTTTCATTTACTGAAACTCAAATAACATAAATGTGTTTAAGAATTCTTCTATAACACAAACTACATGAGAATTTCTCATAAAAAGTACAAAAAAATAACACCCGACAGGAACTCATCTGCAACATTTTTTCTCCATGTTAAATGTCTCCAATAAAATTGAAGAGAAGATTTATAGGATGAGGCATGCCCTTCCCAGTTTTGGCGTCATATGTCTTTTCCAACACCAGATCCATCGGAGTATCCTTGGGGCCAACTGAAAAAACAAACCAAAATAAGCCACTACATCACATTAGACCTTCAATGAAAATTAGATTTGAACAAATGACATGAAGGGCTACTTCTAAATTCAAGTGTCAAACAATTATATTCTCAAAAAAAAGTCTAGCAATTATTTTGTACTCTAACAAGAAACTGTAATTTAAGAACGATTTCTAAATAAGCAGCCGCCGGGGGCCTCCAAGAAGTTAGCAAGGACCATACTAAAGGTTTCCAATTGAGTGGAAGCTATTCAGAGACGGTATCAAAGTTGAATTCCATCCAAAAGTTACTCATTTTCCAAACAATCTCTTAAGTTTCAGACATGCCTAACAGAAACTATGGCCCTTTCATTTTCCTACTACACTAAATATGATAAACATAGAGAATGTTTTGAATGCTCTCACAACTGAGAGAACTGTTTGAATTATACACGTGAGCCCTGGCAATACGCAGTCCAGAAATCACAACATACACAACGGCTGCAAAATCAACACAAAAACCCATGTTGACAGGTTACTGCCTTAGAAAGGCAAAAAAATTATGGAAAGTGAAAGTACTAGAAAGTAAAATCAATGAAAGAAAAATGAAGAGAGAAGTAACTTTTCAATATGCATTTGGTTGGGTAGCAAGTTTGTCCAAGATGTTATTTGAATATAATGAAATTTAAAATTTTATTGTGCGTATATTAACCTCATCCATATGTCTACAAGACAAAAGTTAAATATAATCGAGCAGCTTAGGAAGGTGCCACTCACCTGATTTTTCCCCTCAACAATCAAACGATTTTGAGAGCGAATGACATGCTTAACAGCTCCAGTCCCACCTCTATCTTTACCCGTGGTTACCATCACCTGCAAATTAAGAGAAGGAAACATTCATTTAAGATGAGAACAAGGCGGAGAATATAGCCATACAGGTACAACGGGGAAAATAATCCTCTCTCTTTTTCTTACGTTATCTCCTTTGAGAATCTTCCGATGGTGTATGAGTCTCTGAGCTGCTCTCCAACACATTTCAAATTAAAGTTATAATCAAGGATTAACCAAGTAGTATTAGCATTTAGCAGTATTAGCATGACATGGCTAATAATTATTTTAAATGGTAGATGGTCAAAATTAAATAATAAAATTGAAAAGAACATGTCAATTTACTAGGCATATAAGATTGCAAGTCTAATTCCAATGGAAGCCACTCTTTGCAAACGATATAAAGGTAAGAGCTAAACCTAGTCTACCCCCCATCGCAGCACACCCTAGTGTAATGGGATCGTTCTGGGTAATGCTTTTAAGATCATAGTTTAAAACCCACATTATGTAACATTCGGCACTAAAAATGGTATAAAAATTCAGACTTTGTTGGGTTATTTTCCAAGTCTCCCACAACTGCGTGATTGTGATGCTAAATGTCATGGAACATAAAGCTGATAATCAATTTCTTTTTACAGTGGTGGAAGCTACAACAACTGAAGAATGTATACTTTAACAATAAAGGAAAATTCAAGTATAAATTGAAAACATCTGAACACACCATCATCATAACCACACACACAAACTTTATTCAAAACAATAATTAGTAATTTACTTTGAACATTAATGTGAGCCCTAATAATTAAAGGTTGAATTGGGAAACAAGCAAAATTAAGATTTTGCTGACATAAAAAACAAGACATTTTACTGATTTTTTTTTTAAATTCAAAAAATTTTAAATTTCTAGATTTGGCTTGACAAAACGAATCGAAAATGAAAAAAATTATAAAAAATCTAAAAATAAAAAAGATTAATAAAAATTAGTAAACTATTTAAATTTTTTTTTTTACTTTATAAATTCATCTACAGAAGACAAATTAGAGAGAAAAAAAATCAACATAGAAAAAAAAAACAAAAAAACAAAATTGACTTATTTAGTTTACTCCAAACAACCCCTTAAAAAATCAAATCAATCGATGGGTTAATTATTAGAAGAACATGTATACCATTAAATCTCACAAGTGTTTGTATAGATCAAAAAATCGTAAAAAAAAGTGACATTTAGTGATGTTTTTCAAAATCTGTGGCTAAAATCAAGTAGGGTGTTATGTTGTTATCTAAATTAGTTTATTATCTGTATAGGATAGTTGGTGAGCGATTCATGTGACTATCTCTTGAGATTATAAGAAATTCAGAGGTTTAAAATTTGAGTCAATAGAGTAACTGTGACTTTACTAACCTAAGATTGAGTTATCTCACAGATTAACAATCCAACAAACTCCTTAATCCCTAAACAAGCATAAGCTTAATCTTTATTTTTCTAAAATACAATTTTTGTTTTACTAAAAAGTGGTCGCCTACCGTCTATCTGTAGACACCCCATTTTTGACCGACCTTAAGACTCAGACGTCATCGATTCAGCGCTCGGTGATTGCGTATGTTGTGCTCGTTCTAAGGTTTCGGATTTTCGGCTGAGAGCCTTGCCTCCGGGCTTCGGGACTCTTTTGTGCTTTGCCTCGGTTTGCGGACCAGGTTCTGTTTTCTCTTCCTGAAGGGAGGAAGGGGTCTTGTAGACCATCTCTCAGTGGCCATAGGCTACTTTTCGTGGTCGTAGACCACTGTTCCCGTTTGGAGACCAGTTTTCGATTTTCGGAGCCGTCTGTCGTGCGCCTCGGTTCGGGACCGCTTAACTTTCTCCGTTTGCTTCGGTTTTTGGCACACACCTTGTTTCCTTTCTCTAGAGGGACACTATGGCCCGGGAGACCACCGTCATGGTCGCATGCCACTTTCGGTGCTTAATAGTCAGTTTTCGGGGTCTCCGGCCGCGCATTTTGACCCCTGAACCCTCGTTTTGCATCCGTCTTGGTTCATTTTTGCATGGACCCTATTTTCATTGTTTGGAAGGTGGTACAGGGGTGGGAGACCACCTTTTCTCCTTGGAGACCACTTTTCTTCGGTTGGCCAATTTTCTTGACAGATAAGTGGTCTCCCTCACTTTTGGGCCACAATTACTGGTCTCCCACCATACCACTTGCTTGCATTTCATGTGGAGACCACCCTAGGAGGAGGTCGGCCACCTGAACCTTTTGACCCTGGTCAGTCGACCAGAGAAGGTGGTCGGTCGACCACTTGAACTGGTCGGCCAGCTTTCTCCTTTTCTATTTCACTAAGTTGATGCCAGCTGTGCCAGCTGGAAGCCACAGAGTGCATCCTCCATACACGTGTATGGAGGATGTTTAACCTTGGTTTTAAGCTTCTTGGAGAAGCTTTGCACCCATTGGGCTATAAAGGAGGGCCTCTCCTTCATGAGCAAAGGTTCAGAATTCTGGTCTAAGGCACATACACACTCCTCTCTATTTCTCTCCATTTTAGCTCCAAAGGTCCCTTGTTCTTGGCCTATTGCACACCACCTCCTATCCTAACACCTCCACCATCACTCTAAGCACCTTGGAGCTGGTTTTTAGAGGCTAAAGGGTTAATTTTTTGGTCCAGAAGCTGCTGGAGTTCTTGGCTACAAGGGTAACACTTTTTTCCCTCTTTTCAGCATTGTTTTGCTTCATCTTTTAGCTATAATTGCAAGCATATTTGAGCTTTGTCATAAACTGAAAAAAAGTCTTATTTTGAGGATCTTAACATGTTTGTTTAAGACTATTTTTCTGTTGGGGGTCATCTACCCCCTTGCATGCTTGTTTTCACCTTGTTTTGAGCCATGCCTTTGAGCCTTTGCATTGACCTTTGTTTGGTCTCTTAGCCACTGAAATCCAAAGTGGCTAGAATGCTGTTTTGAGCACCAAAATTAAAGAGGGGTGACCCTCTCACCCGTTGTTTTGTTTACTAGCATTTTTGGCCTAACAAAGGGGCCCTTATTTGCATGCTTCCAAGCCATATTTCAGTCCTTTTTTGGTGGGTTTTAGGACCTGCATAGGCTCTTTCCGAAGCCCATTTTTCCATTTTGGGTGTCCATCTTGCATGTGTAGAACAACTCCTTGTATGGCCTATCAAAGTAGCACTTCATCCTTGCATGTATTGGTCAGGTTTCAGTGGGTTTTTGGGCTTCATTCGACATGCCATGATTCTAATTTTGACTGCTTTGGTAGCCTCTCATGTGCTTCATATGGTTGTAGTGTAAATCAAGGTTCACTAGCTTGTATTGCATGATGTTTTGGCCCCCTTTCCTAGCATATTTTGGCCATGATCCAAACTAATTTTATTTATATTTTGGGCTGCCTTAGCTCTGTTTGAACTTTTTTGGGTCATGCATGCATTGTTGTATATGGTCATGGTTCAATCAAGCTTACTAGCTTTGTATATCAATCCACTAGCATGCGTTGTTTAGGCCTTTGACATGATTTAGCATCATTCCTACCATGATTTCAGTGCATATTACTTTTCCATATTCTCATGTTTGTCACTCTTTCAATGTGTTCGAGAGTTATGCATAAATGCCTTGTTTTTTGGACCGTTGCATGAGCTTCATTTCCGTGCATTTTGAGCCATCATTTTAGACCATTTTCCCACTGTCTTGGACCTGCATAGGGACTTTTTGGGGCTGGTTGGGTTATTTGAGCATTGCTTTGTGTACCTCTAGTATAATCCACTTCACTAGTTTCGGTATTCGGACCCTCTAGCATGCGTTGTGTGAGTTGTTTGCATGATTCGGAGTCGTTTTGGAGTCTTGATTTATGCCATTTCAGAGCTGGAACATGTGTCATTGTATGCCATATTTCACCCTTTCAATGCTTTCGTAGAGTTGCATTTTGTGCCCTTGGGCTTAGGTCCTTGCATTGTACATGCTAGCATGAGTTTTGGAGTCTTGTTTTCATCATGTTTGGCCACTGAGTTGGACATGGATGAGGCCTATCCATCTTGGTTTAAGTCCATTTAGCATTGTGCATGCCATGTAGTTCGTTACATTGAGCATGGTATTTGACATTCGCATTGTGTATGCTAGTCTCATTTTGTCATATTGTTGCATGCTTATGGTTGTCTCGCGTTGAGTACGTGTACATTAGCATTGTGCATTATGTATGCCATTAGCCTTGCTAGGTTGTTCATGTTGTGTTCGATATTGACATTGTGTATTCTAGGTGCATGTTTGCATGTTCCACCCCTTGCATGTTTGCATGACCAAGTTGCATTGCATTTAGCTTGCATGCTAGAGTCGCATTGTGCATGCCATACTTGTTGCATTGTGTTTGGAATAGGAGTTAGTCCAAACACGGGAAACAAGGAATGTTTTGTACTCAAAGTGATGAAACATACCTCAATTTCCCAGTCACCAACCCTCTTGGCTAATACATGATGGAGTTTAGGCGTTTATGTGTTCATATGTGCATTCATTCCATATCAAGTCGTGCAATTCGACTCCTCGGCCATCATGCATCGAGATGCGTGATTGGTGGCCCGAGGGTCGAGGACTACACTCCCTTGAGCTTGAGCAATGATGGAAGAGTGGTCGTGCACACATTTGTTAAAAATACCTTGCTATGCCTCTCTCTTGCTTTGTGTTGCAGAAAACCAGGAACATGAGGCAGAAACTGGTCAGCCGACTAGCTTTTGTAGCAGGCTGACCACCTCTTTTGGTCTCCACCACAAAAGGTGGTCGGTAGGTGGTCTCCAAGGCCAAGGGTTGGTCGGCAGCCTTCCCACAGCTTCCCAGGGTGGAGTTTCAGCCTTCTGGAGCCTTGTGTAGTGTTCTGAGGTCAATTGCAAACAAAGGCAAGTCAGAGCATTGCGATGGATTTCCCGACAAAGCGATTCAAACATGCATGCATTCATTGCCATCCAAGGCAGAGCTGGGGCAGTCCATTTCGTGTAGCTTGCTTGATAGTTTTATTGCTTACTTAGTTAAATTTGATAATTAGTTAGCGTTATGTAATAATTAGTTGTAGTTAGTTATGCATTCGGTTGTGTATTATTTATTCGGACCCTCCGAGAGAGGGCAATGTTGTAATAAGTGTGCGTGTGTGTGATGTATGTCTTCCAACCCCACGTCTTTCTCCCTTTTGTTTACTAGCTTATGATGGTTAGTTTTAGGACATGTTTCA